TTTTCCTATTCATTCGTTTTGAAATAATTATGCAGACACATCAGCTGTTAACCATTTGCACCTCTAAGTGTTGTGAAACTGTAAACTTCATACATCTGACTTCTAGAAAACGTTTTTGTGGCTTATGACAGAGGTTTTGAAATGGGCATAGGTGATCGTAAAATACTGAATAATGTGAATAGTGCCTGAATTTGTTCTCCTTTTTGGGTGATTAAAAACTGACAGGCACTATAATTTCTGTAACACACTAACAAAAGCATGAAAAACAGGGATGCAACATTTGTGCAGAAATTCGAATGACAAGATTAGGAATATTTTCATCTGCACCCACTTCTAAATTTAATGTTTTTCTGGAAGTAATAATTGCAAGAGTTCGAATAGAAAGTGACGTACCAAGTAACCATTTCTCAGCTGCCATAATAATGCCCAGTGGCTTCCCCTCTGTCAAATCTAGTTTCCTATGAAAAAGAAGATGGCAGATACAGGAGAGATGACAGAGGGCCCTAGGCTGGAATGTTCCTTTCGAAAGCAATGTTTCTATCAAATACTAGTATTAATTTATGTATCTGGTTAATGACAAACTTAGAGAGCAAATTATGGAAATGTATATTTTATATGATTTTTGAGGCCCTCTCTAAACCCTGGGTCCCTGAGGGATTTATCTCACTGGTACCTTGTTGGAGGCCTTGCACATAGGAAACTTTTGATAAGTATCTGCAGAAAAATAAACATGCATCCTGTGATATTGGGCTCTTCAGGACGCATAAAGCAATTGTGAAATACAGTATACTGCAGTGACTTTAGGTGGAGGAAAGGAGGGAAAAGTGCTTATTATGTGCAACATTATGATTAACTTGATTATACACCATTTTTGAGTAGACCTTGGGATGAATGACATGACCTTTCCCTAGAGAATAAGGATGAAATAATCACTCATTCTATGAAGAGTGATACTACTTTCTATTCTTTAGCTGTACTGTAATTCATTGAATTGATAGTTTGACAAATGCTTAATAGGTTCAAAAGTAATCTGGTCTGAATAACACTGGATTTGTTTTTGTGATCTCTGAGGTCTATTTTATGTTTTTGCTGTTACTTCTGTGGAAGTAGCTTTGAACTAGTTTCACTTTGAACTTTTACACTGAAACATGCTAGTGATATCTGGAAAGGGCTAATTAGGTCTCATCCTTTAATGCCCCTTAAATAAGTCTTGCTGATTTTCAGACAGGGAAGTCTCTGTATTACACTGGAGTTGTTTTATAGATAAGTCAATATTGTATCAGGCAAGATAAACCAATGTCCTAACAGGCATCACTAACCTCACTGACACAGGGTCATAGTGTATCATAATATACTGTACTGTATCCTATATCATCTTTAGAGGTGGTATGATTTTTTCATGAACGATAAGCTTTTGGTGATACTCATTTTAAACTGGACTTATTAAAATTGGATGCTAGAGAATCAAGTTTATTTTATGTATATATTTTTCTGATTATAAGAGTAATATATGTTCAGTGTGAAAACTTTTAAAACACAGAAACTATATGCAAAGAAAAACTAAAATTATCTATAATCTCAGAACCCAGAAATAGCCACTATTAACATTTCCTATGTATTTTATTTTACATAGATCATATTGTATATAGTTAGTATCTTTATTAATTTTTATTATGAAACTTTCCTTTGTCATTATTAGTCTTCAAAAGCATGATTTTTAATAGTTGTTGAGTATCCCACCAGAGGAATGTATCACAACTTATTTAACCATTCCTGTTTGTTAGTTTCTTATTAATGTTGATGAATGTTGTTTAAAAATAATTGTGTTGCACATTTACTTTAATTTCCTTGACTGTAAAGAGAAGTAATTCTGCTGTTTGATAAAGTATTATATTAATAATAAATCTGCCTGCAACTTTTTGCCTTCTCATATGAGTGGTTGCTAGCTAATTATTTTTTTAATGGAAAAAACTTGAGTTGACTAAGCCACATAAGATGTGATGCGAGCAGTGGAGAAATGGGTGTGACCGCAAGAGACCTGACCCAGGCGGCTGGAAGATGGTAGGGACGGGAGGTTGACCCAGGCTAGGCCACGTGTGGAGCAGAGAGAATTTCAGAGATGAGACAGCAAAATACACAAGAGCTGAAAAGGACAAAACAGAAGCCAAAGCAGCGAGAGAAGCGACCTCTGAGAACCATCCAGCTACCTTCGAATACCCGTCTCCTGCTGACTCTGAGTCGGGTACAACTTCGCAGGTGGCTCGGGGTGAACTAGAGGAGGGAGGGCACCTCTGGGATCAGCCCCGGGACCGCTAGGCGGCGGCGCTGGAGGCGGGGACTTCCTGGCCCCTTGAGGCAAAGTGCACTCCTTCCTCCACCGCGTCTCAGGGCACCGCGTTCTTTCCACTCTAGTCGTCCTCTCTGATGCTTTCCTCCCATGAATTCTGGTGTACATATAATACAGAAACCATTCTCCAGAATGCCTACACCTCTTCTTCCATTGTGGGCCAATTCTACAGGGGCGCTAAGTGGCCAACTTGTGGTTCCCCGAGATGTCTGGGCTGTTTCCTACACACTTCCATTTGCCCTGCATTTGCAGCATTCCTTTGATTCCAGGTGGGCCTTTATCCCCCATTCATTTTGCCCTGGTTTGGAAGGACGGTTTTCCAGTTTCATTAGGGACACATCATTTTATCTTTGACTTCCACAGTCGGCAATTAGAATCTAGCTGGGTCCTGTTGGCTCATGCCTGTAATCCCCACACTTTAGGAGGCCAAAGCAGGAGGATCACTTGAGGCTGGAAATTTGAGACCAGCCTAGGCAACATACTGAGACCCATCCCTACAAAAACTTCTAGAAATTAGGCAGGCGTGGTGGTGTGCACCTGTAGTCCCAGCTACTGGGGAGGTTGAGGTGGGAGGATCGCTTGAACCCAGGAGGTCGAGGCTGCAGTGAACTATGTTCATGCCATTGCACTCCAACTTGGGCAACAGAATGAGACCTGTCTCTGAAATAATAACAAGAAGAATCTATTTAGAGCCTTGGAAGTTTTCCTTTAAATTATTTATAATAGTGCTGTTCAACAGATACAAGCAAACCATGTATTTCATTTTAAATTTTCTAGTAGTCATATTAAAAAATAAAAAGGCATAGAAGAGATAAATTTTAATAACATATTTTATTCTTTCCAGTGTATCCAAAATATTATACTTTCAACGTGTAATCGATATAAACATTATTGAGATATTTTACATTTTTTTTGTACTAAGTAATTTTGGTACTAAGTAATTAGATTGTTCTATAACATCTCCATTTAATATTTAATATTGAGCAATGCTGCTGGAAATTTGCACTTGGAAAGGAACATGTTAATTTGGAGGATGTTAGCCATCCTGGACAGGAGGACCTCGGTTCTAGAGGGGAAGGCAGAGACCATGTCTTGTCTGGTATATTTTTTTTTACAGTGTTTAGCACATTATCTCTTACATAATATTGTTCAACAAATGTTGATTAATTGAATACATGTAGGAATGAATGACGGAATAAATGATAAGCAGAATTAGCTCACTGCCATCACCTGTGCCCAGAAACTGGTTTAATAGAGATCAACTGTCAGCCAGCAATGGCGATGTGTTAGATGACACACAGCTCCATCCTATATATTCAGAGGAAGAAATGATAACCTGTCTTACTAGGTAGAGAGGCAGTAAAACTTACTGCTGTCCTAAGTTATCGCCTCCAGACAAATCACTAAGTGAAAGGTTGTAACTTTTTGTCTTCCTTATCCACATGTCTTTCAACTAGTCAGTAATCTTTCTGTCTCAGGCTGAGTTCTTTATCTGTAAACAGAAACAGTATTTTAGAGGAACCCTTTATGTCATCTCCAAATACTTAGTTTCCTAGAATGTGTAGCTTTTCCCCTCAGACCCATTGCATTTTTCCATTTTTATAACCACTAAATATTGTTGGAGTTTTGTTGGTTGCAGGACATTTCCTGGAATGTTTTTGTTTCATATCTTTGTGGTTAAACACCCATTGTCTGATATGAAGGAGAAAGAGGTCAAGAAAACCCACAGGGAACCTTGAGCAAAGGGTGGAAATGCCACTAATAATGGCAACAGGACACCTACAATATGGTGAAATCTTGTTTTGCATTATTTCTGCACACCAGAAAAGACTTGGTGACTACTCCTCAAGTCCCACGAACTCTGACTTTTTTTTTTTTTTTTTTTAACCTACTGGGTTAGAGAGGAAAACAATTTCAACATACATATTATGGAGATAAAAAAGGCAGAGAAAAAAAAAAAGAACAAGACCAGGCTCAAAATGACCTTACAGTTGGGTAGTTTTGGGTAACGCAATCCTTGGTGAACCTCAGTTTCCTCATCTTTGAAATGGGAATGTCTGTCTTAGCACAGTGCTGAACATAGAAAATATTCAATACTTTGCGTATCTACCCCAGACATTTATTTCTTTTCCTAGACTCATACAACTTACTCTTAATGTGCATGTGATTTCTTGTTAATCAGATAGTTAAAGCTCAATAATGTAAAACTAGGGACTATTACAGTCAAAATGATTCATCCTGAAGTCTTCTAGTTATTTTATTTGTGACTTTGAATATACATTTTCATAGAATACCCTTGGTAAAACTAAATTTAGAAAAATGAAGTCACACATTTACTTAATAATACCAAATTATCTTCTTGGATTCAAATTTTACAAATGTTGGATTGATAGAATTCTGAAGATAATTTGGCAGAAGATATTTCTGTATCAATATGTTGTACCATCTGCTCTTTTGAAATAATCTAATGACACAGACAAAACATTAAAATGTGTATATTTGTTATTTGGTTGGTAAATAATTGAAGGCTCATTAACTAATTTTTATGAGATTCAAAAATCTCTGGTAGACTTTCTGATTTTAGTGTAATTTTTCAATATGTTTATTTTATGGTAAAATGAATTAATGTTAAGTGACCTAATTTATTTTGTATACATTATCTTCAATAGAAACATTATCCCTTAATAAACTGCTGGAATAGACTGACCTTTTTTTCTGTTTAAAATCTCAATTGATCAGTTTGTAAAATTCAGTTTCCTTTCGATATCATACCAGTTGTTGTCTAATTATGGCCATGACCATAAATTTTGCCTAAGGCATTTCAGTTGGTTTTTCATGTGAATCAAAGCTTTGGATAATTTATATCCAAGATGTTAGATGGCAAATTCTATAGTGTTCCAAGGTCACAGTATTGCGTTTAAGACATATTGGTTTTATAACCATATTTTTCCCCTTTAAATTATGAGTACTGTGAGTCTCTGGTAAGTAGCTCCAAGGCTTCAAAATACAACATTTCAGTCAACAGGGGGCAGTAGTGGTAAGCCAGAGAGGACGCAACAGAGACATAATTAGAGGAAGATGGATGGGTCAGATAGAGATATTTTATTAGTAAAAGATGAGATTGAACCAACTTTTATTCCACATTGGTACCATTTTAAATGTTCTTATTTTAACTGTGCCTGTTATGGGCCTAATAATCCACCAAAATAAACACAGTGTGGGGTTACTATGACCATCAGGTTGACAGAATGAGCTGCAGTGTTGGCAACATGGCTGCAATTGGTTCACTCAGACAGAGGGGAGGAGATGAGGGAAACCAGAAATTAGGTAATGGGCTTGCAGCCCTGGGGAGAGCCCCAGCTGTGCTGTGTAAATGCGGATGACCAGGTCTTTTCCCCTCCCAGCCCACACTTTGGAAAGTGCCTATGGGAGAAGATGGCGGCAGCACCCATGGCTTGGCAAGGAATCACTCCCGAGTGATTCTGACACCCTGTTCTTGGAGAACCATGGGGCTATGTAGAAGGGTGTAGTCAAGGCAGATCCAGTGAATATAAGAAGGCGAGAAAGACCAGCGCACAGGCAGTTGAACTAGAAACAGGAAGGTCGGAATTGCAGGGCGTAGGAGTGAAGCATTTTCAGCTTGCGTCAAGAGGACTGTTGAAGGAGAAGCCAGCCGTTGGAGGGGAGGCACGGGGAGCGTTCCTCCTGGATACGAGAAAGGTAGTGTACAAAGACGCTGAAAAGGCTGGGGATGGTTTCGGGGCTTGTGGGAGTGGGCCCAGTGGAGGAGGGGAGGAAAGCAAAGGACAGAGGAGAACTGTAGGCAAGGAATTCAAGTGTGTCCAGAAAGTCAGAACATGCCTGGGTTGAGAAAGTGGAATAGAAGGGCAAGGCGGGGATATGCCAGCTTCCAAGAACAACAACAGAGGCCCTGGGCCCAGGTTTTGGGAGGAGCAGGCTCTTATATTGTGGAGGAAGCCTTAAACCAGATAGAGATCCTCCATTTTCTAGTTCTACTTGCAGATTTGCTTTATAACCCAGAGCAAGTCACCTAACCCACTGGGCCTCATTGTTTTCTTCTCCATAAAAAGAGGGAGTTAATCAGGACCAGTGCTTTTCTACCTTGGTTACACATCAGAATCACCTGGGATTTAAAAAAATTCCTCAGACTAATGAAGCCAGGTTTTCTGGGGGGCGGTGGAGCTAGCTCCCAGGTGATTGCAGTGGGAAGCTGAAATTGAGAACCAGTGATCTAATCAGTGCGTCGCTGACTTTAACATACATATGAGTCACCTGGGGATCTTGGTCAAATGCCAATTCTGATTCTGGAGGTCTAGGATGGGCCCAAGGGTTTGCATTTCTAACAACCTCCCAAGAGTGCCCATGATGCTTCTGTTCTGTGGACCACAGTTTGAGTAGCAAGGGGCTAAGGGCCTTCTGTGATTGATTGAGGGATATAATTTGTTCTAATAGGGATAACAAGAGACACAGAGAGAAAAGAACTGTTAGTCTGTTGTTATTGAGATGGTATCATAGAAAGTGTCAGAATGCAGCAAGCGCCATGGATGACAAAGAGGTACTGATTTAAGGCTGACACAATTAAAACATTAAGACACGATATCCTAACAAATTCTCACTTGAAATGCATAACCATTATTTGAAACACACCTATTTTTTCTTTAACTTTTATTTAGTATTTTAAGTTCCAGGGTACACATGCAGGATGTGCACGTTTGTTACATATGTAAATGTATGCCATGTTGATTTGCTGCACAGATCAACCCATCACCTAGGTATTAAGCCCAGCCTCCGTTAGCTATTCTTCCTAATGCTCTCCCTTCCCTTGCCCCACCCCTGACAGGCCCCAGTGTGTGTTGCTCCCCTAATGTGTCTATGTGTTCTCATCATTCAGTTCGCACTTAAAAGTGAGAACATGCAGTTGTTCGGTTTTCTGTGAAATAGACATTTTAGGTGCAGATGACTACAATTAAAAAATTTTAAAACAGACTTCAAAGTCCAAATGATCACACTTTTTAAAATTGGAAATAACTTTAATATAAAAAACATGAAAAAAGGACAAAATTTTCTGCTTTTTTTTCTTATTTTTAACATGTTGGAAGAGTAACTAAATCAAGAGCCTTATGCTGAAAACATCCTATATGCTCAAGCATCTTCTGGTGATGTGCATTCAATATGAGATAACAAAAATAAAAAATAGATCTGTATGATAATGCGCATAATATTATGTACATGTTTACTGATAACAGACAAGATGTGAATTAGGAGACAAATGTTTTAAATTTATTGGAACTTTTATCATTAAAAATGTATTTTAAAATATATGTCGAACGAAGACAGAACGAAGCTAGTCTTGAATGGAGATTGCTGGGTTGGGCAGGTGGAAGTCTGAAAAAAATAATAGTTCTGGAACAAACTGTCTGAGCCTGTGATAGACCTGCTCTTTCTCACCTGGAGACATTCTGAGACCTAGGTTTAATTACCGTTTCTCTTCTGTGTTTGGTGCGTCCATTTGTCATGCACCCACCTTCCAGGGCTATTTGAAAGCTTCAGGGTGTTAATGTCGTAGGAGAAAGTAGTTTGTCAATGTAAAAGCATTGTCCAGATGTAAATTATTATCATCTGGCTCTCTCTCACACTGAATCCACTTCTGCGACCTCTAAAGAGATAGAGAAAAAAGAAGAATCAGTGAAATGCTATCATGCTTATGAAGCAAACTGTGGGACTCTTACCAACCCAATTGCAATAGAATTGCAAAATAGACTCTCTGTTGTCTGTTGTCTCTCCAGCCCTTGACAGCAAAGCACACATCTACACTGTGCCCAGCCAGGCTCATCACTCACATCACAGGATGGCCACTGCATCTAGTTTTCTTCAACATAGACCTAAAAGCCTGGATGACATCATCATCGCCATTGTGATTTTTTTTGTGAAAGTGAAGTGGAAATTGTACATGTTTGATGTACATACAGGTGACTTGCGCTGCTATTTTTGAAGGCCTTTAAGGATATTGTGTTAACCAAGAAATTCATATTTCTGTTCAAAATATTTTGGAATATGAGTGATACAAGTGTTTTATTTTTGCATACAGGTTACACAGTATCATAGTAAAACTACTTTGTAAACTGTGAATTGTTCAGTGCATTCCTGGTGGATGTCTCTTGTTGGATGTCTATTCAGCCTTCAGCCAGATAGATCTGAAAGGCAATATTCATTATCTTTCCCTTCTAATTGGCTCTTCATTTCTGTTTCCGTAATTTACCCCAGTAAGCCCTTGGAGACATTCAGGCGTGAAATGCTATGGATTCTTTTCACTGTGGTATTTGCAGCATCCACCGTTCATCTGGGTACTTGCTGCAATTGTCCTCTTTGCACTTTTTGCATAGACTTTTCCAGTAATCCCTAACTGGTTTTCTGGTTTGAAAAAAATGACAAAATTATCTGCTTTTTTCTTATTTTTAACATGTTATAAGAGTAACCGAATCAAGAGCCTTACAGCAAGCACCATTTTGATTAGGTCACTTGCCTCTTCCGTGAGTGTCTTTGCATCCTCCTCCCAACTGGTATTTGTTCTCAGACCTCTCCTCTCATGTCCGCTGGCCTGGTCATCCCCAAACCTCACTCAACATTAGAATTAGCACCTACCACCTCCTATGGGACTTGTGTGATTGTTTAATCCCTTCCATTTGATTATAAAGTGCTCTGAGGCAACAACTTTATTTGCCTTGTTACTCCCCAGGACACATATTAACTGCCTAATAAACATTTCTTGTATGAATAAATGCCTAGTGAAAAGGGCATAGGAATTTATTATAGGTGGTTCTTTAAAAGGAGTTAACTGTTTTTCCAGTTACCTGGAGCTCCATTGAACTCTATTGTCTGGCATTTTGCCAATCACACTTCTCTTTAACAATATTCATGATGATAATTGGTGTTCATGGTGATTACCCCAGGGCTGTACAAACTCTTAAAAGGCCTTCTCAGTCATTTTTTTAAAAAGACCATATGAAGATGTTTGTTTCTCGTTAAAGGATTCATTATATGTATTATCATAGATTATCAATTTTCAAGGAATTAAAACACAATAAAAATCACAGTAATATCACATTGTACATGAATCTTCCTTTGATGATTAGTTCATTTGACAAATAATTAGCACACACTTAATATGTGCAAGTTAATAGAGTTATTAAGCAGGATATTCTACTCCAGTCAATTTATATATATTCAAAATGACTTTTTCATTGATTGTGCTAGATAATACTGGTTTACTGTAAATGGCATACAGTGTTACATTTAATCACTTTTTTCAATATACATTAAGCAAAATTATGGCTCTTTAAAATAGTTTTTTTATAGAGCAATTACTAAGAAGTATACTTATTTCTTCATAAGTATAGAACTTATGAAGAAAAGTTCTATAAATCAAATCTGGTTCTTGGTTATTTCTTCAAAGATACCTGAGAACGGTTGGCTTTCTGATCTATTGATGCATTTAGTCCCTGCTTCTGGACCTTGAGTGACAGCATGGCCACAGCTCTTCTCCCCATGTCTGCTCAGTCTGGGACAGAGTCGATCTGGCAATGCAGATTCTGCCTAGGCACTCGAAGCAGCGGCTCTCAATCTTGACTGCACTTTGGAATCACTTGGGGAATTTTAAAAACCACTGATGGCAGGGATGCCAATTTAATTGGTCTGAGATGTGGCGCTGAATCTCTTTCATGGCTCCAGTCTCACTGGAGCCTCTCCCAGGTGACCCTGACTCCTGGGAGCCCAGTAACACATCCTCTGTCCTCTGTCATCCTATAGCCCAGGGGAAGTAGTAGCTTTCTACTGTTTGCTACTCTTAGTGTTTCCTTATCATCCCTGGTTGGCTTCTCAGCAATTCCATTACCCACCGCATAACCAATTCTGTGTATAACATTCCCTCTGTGGTTTGAATCCCAACATGGTTTCTCTTTTCCTTGTTCAGCTTTTCATCAGATCTTAATACAGCTGGTGGAGAAGGCAACAAAAAGTGGGATAAGCACTCTATGGGGCGACCTTGGACAGCCAGGCCTCATCCTGGGTTGGGGGCAGAATAGGCTTAGGCCTGTGGAGACAGGGGAATGGGTAGGACACAAGTTTCATGACCATTTCTAGAGGCCACTCCTTTAGAGCCAGAGACACCTGCAGATACTCTGTAACACAAATCTCATGGGAGAATTTAACCAAATATTACAACTTCAGCATTTTTGAGAATTTGATTTCCTTGTAACAGGTCACACATATATTTTATAAAGTCCGTCAGGAAGAAATTAATTTTTAACATGCCTTTCTATTGGCATCTAGGGTTGATGAATTAACCTGAATTAACCTTTTAATGCATACTAGCAAAGCTGATGAAACTTCAATGTGAATTTCTTTTTAAATTCTAATTCCTTTTTACAGAACCTTGTTGTTGGCTTCTACTTCAAATCCATGACCAAATATTACATAAGGTAGGTTTGAAAAGCCTCATCTCACTTAAAACAAAACAAAACACTCAAAAAATGTCTGCTCTTTATCTTGTGTGGGTAAGAGGAGGTGCTCTGTTCTGTATTACTTATCTGTGTTGTCTCACTGGAGCTCTGCTGACAACTGACAGGTAAACAAGAGGAAGCAATTCCAGTTATCAAATGAAAGCTGCACGTATTTGTTGGTGATATATACAGGGACACTCAGGGCCTTCTTTCACGTAAGCACAGGGTAGATGATACGCAGACCCAGAGCCTTTTCTTCACACACATACCTACCTACTTACACACACACACACACACACACACACACACACACACTCTCAGCTGATTCTGCAGCAGCCTTCACCCAACTGTGCTTTTGTAATGACCTTGCTGAATTGGGTTCCCATTTCTGCTGTTTTGCAGACCCCTTCAGAAAGCAATAGTAAACATCCTCTACGTCTAATAGAAAGAGTTATGCAAGTCAAAGCTAGCATTTTTGTCTTCTTAGGAACATCACTGCTGTAAGCTAAGAGATTGAACCCCATTTATTTAGAACTGGAGTGTAATAAACACTTATCAAGCCTTATGTTTGAAGATATTATATTATCTTCATTTTAAAGACAAGAAAACAGGTATACAGAGGTGAATAACATGCTGTTTTAGTCTGTGCTGCTATAACACAAGACCACAGACTGACTAATTTAAGAACAGAAATGTATTTCTCACAGTAATGGAGGCTGGAAGTCTAAGATCAAGGTGGCAGGATCTGATGAGGGCCTTCTTGCTGCATACTCACATGGTAGAAGGTAGAGGGCAAAGAGAGTGAACTAGCAGAATGCTATGTGAAGCCTCTTTTATAAAGGCCTTAATCCCATTAATGAGGAAGAAGCTCTTATGGTCTAATCACCTATTAAAGGCCCCACTTCTTGATACTATCATATTGACAACACCTGAATTTTGGAGGGGCTCTATTCAAACCACAGCTTATGCCAAAGGCTTCCAGTAGGAAAGGTGAAGTAGGAATAGGATTTGAATAGGCAGGATTGCTCCAGAATTTACACTCTGAATTACGCTATGAACTGCATTTATGGCCATGGTGATTTCAAGGGCTAGATAAGTCTGGTGTTTCTCTGTGCCTGAGCTAATAACTCCTGGAGAAAATTAAGGACTCAGAAAGACCCAGCAACTAATTTAAGTCATTAGTGACTATTCAAAGCTCTGTTCACATTGGTTTCATAGGAAAGACAGCCAACTTGTTTAGAAAGAGGAGAGACAATTGCTGGCTTAGAAAGCTGTACAAAGCCTTTATTGTTTCTAGGAGGAGAGACTGTAACCGAAGATTGATAAGACAAATTACTTACTAGCTTGGCAATACAAGGTGCATTAAACACTTCAATTCAAACCACTAGTGACTAGAGGCTGGGAAAGTGGAAATTACCGTTGCTCTATGCCCGGACTCCCAGACAGGGCTGGCTTCATGGCAGTGTCACCTGTGTAATTGCATGGCTTAATGTTCTTCTGTGACCGTCTTGAAATTCTTAGTATGACTTCCTCTTTGGACTTGTGTTTTGTGATGATGTCTGTGGGCCAGTGTAGCCTGCGCATAGGCAGAGGGCATATGCCAGGCAGCAGTGCACACATGGATGAGTGTGGTGAGCAGCAGCCCAGGGCAGGTGGGCGGGGTGTATACACAGCGGTTGGCTGGGTCTCATGTGCGCGCCTCGGGGAAGTCCAAGCTACAGTGGTTTCTGAGGGGGTGGCCAGCCCAGCATCTGTAACAGCAGCAGCAGCAGAGGTGGCAATGGTAGCTCCACAAGTTATAGGAAATTTCAGAGGCAACGTTAAAATAACATTATATAATATTGTATTGACCAGACACGGTGGCTCACACCTGTAATCCCAGCACTTTGGGAGCCAAGGCGGGCAGATCACTTGAGGCCAGGAGTTCAAGACCAGCCTGGCCAACATGGTGAAACCTCCTCTCTACTAAAAATACAAAAATTAGCCAGGCATAATGGCACATGTCTATAATCTCAGCTACTTGGAAGGGTGAGGCAGGAGAATCGTTTGAACCTGGGAGGTGGAGGTTGTGGTAAGCTGAGATCATACCACTGCACACCAGCCTGGGCAACAGAATGAGACCTTGGCCCAAAACAACAAAACAGAAAACAACAACAAAAAAGAACATTATATAACACAGTATAAATTCACATTTAAACTTAACTTCAGACTTACATAAAACTGATTCGGACAGAGATAAATCTTTTAGAAAAATTGTTCTGCAAGAATCTAGATGTAAAAAAATTTACATTTTGATGTAATGCATCAGAAGCTTATCCCAATGTACTATCCTGAAATAATCCCAGTAATGTTTTCACAACCAATAACATACTCTTAATAGCTCTAGTAACAGTTACATACCTAGGAAGATCCTTCTCAAAATTAAAAGTTATTCAAAAATTGTTTGTAATCTTGCATTTGCAAAAGTGACTGATATTGCTTTTAATTATATGCATGTATTAAAAATAAAGTTGCTAAATGTATAGATGTTGACAATCTAATATATTTCTAGACAAGTAAGCTAGAAAAATCTCACAATCAAATCAAGATACCACATTAATAGAATACAATCACTTATTACATTACATAAGATTGTAACACCAAAATATTATTTTGCAAATATACATGTTTATATTGCTATTCATGTACCACTATTACTTTTTTTGGAACAAGATTCTTTTCTTTTTTTGAAATGGAGTCTCACTCTGTAGCTCAGGTTAGAGTGCAATGGCACAATCTCGGCTCACTGCAACCCCTGCCTCTCAGGTTCAGGTGATTCTCCTGCCTCAGGCTCCCAAGTAGCTGGGGTTACAGGCGCCCACCACACCCGGCTAATTTTTGTATTTTTAGTAGAGGCAGGGTTTCGCCATATTGGCCAGGCTGGTCTTGAACTTCTGACCTCAGGTGATCCCCTCGCCTCAGCCTCCCAAAGTGCTCAGATTACAGGTGTGAGCCGCCGCACCTAGCCTGGAACAAGATATTTTTAAAGGAAAATTTCTTGTATTTTATTACCTTTTATAGCACTTTCTTTCTGTTTTTTTTTTTTGTTTTTTTTTTGTTTTTTTTTTTTTTTTTTTTTTTTTTACAAGAGGTCTTCATTTTCTTTTTGCATTGGGTCCTGCAAATTGTTTATCCAGCCCTGCTCCCAGAAGGACATTATATTACTAGAAGAAAGGAGACTGTGGTTCTCTAGCAAGAGTTCATCCTTCCTTCACCCTGATGAAGTATACAGGCATGCAACAGAGAAAACAGGCAGCTCAGGGTCAGGTTGAGCATGCGTCCTGAATCAGGCATCAGGCGTTGCCTCCCGGCATCGGTCCAGGCCATGCCTAGGTTTAGGAACAATCTGAGCTTGTTTTTCGGTTGCCAAAGCAGCACATGAGGTGTTGGATGACATTAAAGATGAAGGAAAGCTGAGGAGTAATTTTTTTTCTTTTTCTCGGTCCTTACTCTTGTAAAAAGTACCGGTATGTTTTATGAGTGTTTTTCGTTTCATCTTCTTGTCTGTCTCCAGAATTGGAGCTGGTCTATTAGGGAGAGGGAGATGACAGCACAGGATCTGCCGTGCTGGAGGTGACCCCAGAGTTGCCTTTTATTACAATGACCTTTACAAACGACTCAAGTCTTCCATTCTTCACTTTCTCCAGATATGGCTGTGGAGTGTACAATGATAGCTGATGCGTTTATGTGACACTGCTTTGATTCATGCTAAGGAACCAGCAGTTTTACCTACCACTGCTTTTGCGTATTAAGGCAAATGTCAACACTGTGGAAAAGGCAAGTAACATGCTAGTATTATTATGAAGGTTGTTTTGATCTTCCAGATGCCCTGGACGTGTCCCAGGGACCTCCAGGGATCTGCGGACCACATTTGAGAAGCACCATTCCGTGGCATCACCTGGGGGATTCCCAGAGCGAGACCTGGGCCCCAGAGCTCAGAGGGGAAAAACAAATAGAACACACTAGGCAAATCTTTAAATGAATGGATTGAAACCTAAACACGTAAGAGTGCCAGTTACATTTTTAAAAGACTCTTCTGCACAAGTTTTGAGCTGAAAATGCTAGTAAATGAATTGAAGAAGAGTAGCAGTCACTGTGGAGACTTGCAATTACAGCCTAGAAGTTGAACTGGAGCTAATACTTAAAAACACAGAGCAGGCTGGGCGTGGTGGATCATGTCTGTAATCCCAGCACTTTGGGAGGCTGAGGTGGTCAGATCACAAGGTCAGGAGATCAAGACCATCCTGGCTAACATGGTGAAATCCCGTCTCTACTAAAGATACAAAAACAAAATTAGCCAGGCGTGGTGGCGTGTGCCTGTAGTCCCAGCTACTCAGGAGGCTGAGGCAGGAGAATCGCTTGAACCCAGGAGGTGGAGTTGCCCTGAGCTGAGATTGTGCCACTGCACTCCAGCCTGGGCTACAGAGCAAGGCTCCGTCTCAAAAAAAAAAAAAGAAAAAAGAAAAAAAGCACAGAGCAAAAGTACAAGCAGGAGACCATCGTGTGAGAAAATAATAGGGTTTTGGAGAATATCTCTTGGACAAACTAACATGTGAATAAAAGAAGATCCAGAGAGAAAAGCTACAGTTGGAGAAGAGGCAATTGTTAAACTCATAAAAGAAGAAAATGTCTGAGATTAAGAACAACCTGAATGTGCACATTGAAACTATTCACCAAGTTCCAAGCAGAAGGGATGAGAAAAAACAACAACAACAATAACAACAACAACAAAAACAAACCCAGTCACTGAAGGTGATCTGGCAAATTCTTAAATTTCAAGAATAAAGAGAAAATATGATAAACTTCTAGAGAGAAATAACCATTGACTTAGAGAATCAGAGTGTCATTCAGTGTTTCATGTGCAACACCTTACATGAAATGGGGGAGTGGCACCTGACTACTGAGAGAAAAGGACTGCAACCTGAGATCCTTAGACCCACTCAGGATGCCACTGGCCTTTTGGGGAGGAGGAAGGCATGCGTGTGCTGAGTTTCAGAGTAGGTTCTGAGTAGGTTGCCTATGCAGCTGGGTTAGAGGAAACTGCTAGAGGAAGCAAACAGTACCACAGTACCACCCTCCTCTCAGTACCAGCAACCCCACCAACAAAGACAGGAGCACATGAGGCAGAAAATAAACAGTTGTCAGCAGTGCACATATAATTAAATCCAATGACAGTAGTAGACCCTAAATGAGAATTCTGAAACTAGAAAAGGCAATTCTCTTGTTTTCTTTTTTCTTTTTTTGTTTTTGAGACAGGGTCTCACTCCATCACCCAGGCAGGAGCGCAATAGTGCAATCACGGCTCATTGCAGACTTAACTTCTTGGGCTCAAACTAACCTCCCGCCTCATTTTTTGTTTTTTTTTTTTTTAGAGATGGGGGTCTCTCTATGTTGTCCCAATTC